ATCCGCGTTAGAAAGGAGAAGAGGGGAAAAGAACACAAAAAGCCCTCTTTTGACTTTCTCCATTTTTGGCCCACCAAATCATATAATTAGAGTTTGAAAAATTGATTTTTGTTTAGCAATTGAAACTCCATAATTTCAAATATCTACAAATAATGATGTTTATCGAGTTGCAATCATGTAGAATTTTTTCATAGTTTTTAAAATTTCAAATGTCTTTTCCTTTTGAAAAAATAAGTGATTTCTTTTTTACCAGAAGAGTTTCGAAAGAGGTTCTTAGATCCAGAGACCTCAACTTGTTATAACTTTGAAAGCATTAAAATTAGTTCAAAGTTCAGATGATATTTTGATTTCTCGATTAATAATGGGATATCCGAAGCATTTAGCCATCTACTAATTTCATTGATGGCCCTCGTCTTAAAACATCAAGGTAATTTGGTTATGCAAAGTTTGTTTTCCATCCTAATACGTAATATGTGCACTCGAAATTCCTACACGATGACCGTTATAAAACCTCTAGAGCTCGTGTGATCTATTGAAGTAAAAAAAAAACTGTTAACAGTCACGTTGTATGTCTGAGTACCTAATTGACCGTAAATGGCTTTCTGTTGATCTATCATTTCTAGAAAATCAAACGCATGAAAGTCCAAGAAACGAATTCATGAAATACTATTTCTCTAAAAAAAAACACGTCCTTATTTTCGGCATTTACAATAACACGAATGACGTATTTCTAGCTTTTTCACCATAGCCCGTAAAACCCTAAGTTGGGGGGCGCATTTGTCGGGCCACCTAGCCACTCGAGTCCTGTTTCGCGCGTTACCATGTTCACGAAATTAGTCGAGTATTTCATGTATCCACAATTAAAATCATCTAAAGCGATGTTTCTCGTCGGCGAGAAACATATTCGAAGCCCCATAAGCAAATGATACACAAACCTTACTAGGCATACAAATGGAGGGTTACGAACATGCCACATGTCCAAACGGTTGGGTGATCAAACATAATTTGTATTGGCGGATCAAATTACTCCTTATGCCCTTACCATTATTAAGGAAAGCTGTGAATAAATCATTTTATCGAAAAAGATCGAATGAATTATTACCTTTTATTTATTAAAATTTATTTTCCCCCCATGCACTGAACGTGGGGACGCCGCATTTAATTTCTATTTGGGAGCAAGCAGTCGAGTCCACACGAGAACGTGCCGAAAAGTGCGACTCGATCGGGACGTAATTTCCTTCGACTTTCTCGAGAAATGAATTCTTTTTTTTGTTGTCTTTTCGGTCGGATTCTCGAGAAACTAAATTCGACGTGGAGAGAGAGAGAGAGAGAGAGAAAATAATTGCATGAGCCATGCTTCTTTGTCGTCAAACGGTCAACTTGTCAACTTGTAATTTGCCACCTCGGAAACAAAATAAGCAAGTAGTGATCCTCAAATGCACACCCCTTAGTTTATTTAATGGATTAATACTACGAAAAATCCTAAACTGATATATTTATAATAAATTTATCTCAAATTAATTTTTTGACCATAAAAAACTCCAAACTGATTAATTGTGATAAATGTACCATCCGTTAGTTTCCGTTAAATTGAATTAATACCACGAAAAATCATAAATTGGTACATCTGTGACAACTGATTAATACCCGTAAACTATCATGTGTCTTCCAACTTAGAAATTTAACGAAAAAATTCAACAAAAATAAACTCAGGGTAAATTTGTTACAGGTATACCGATTTGGGATTTTTTGTAGTAAAAAAATTAGTTTGGGATAAATTTATCACAGATGTATTAATTTGATGTTTTTATGGTATTAACCCTTATTTAATATGCTATTTAGTGCTTATGTAAGAGTCATGAAAAATCAAAGTCATTATGGAGGTGAGGGTTTGTAAAATGCAATTCATATCAAATTAAATTGATATCGTGCGATTAGGATGCTCGATCGGTACACATAAATATGATTTCTTACCGGTAGGGCATGATATAAACGAGGTCGAAATTCTTAATTCGAAACATAATATATTGTCTTTGACAAGCATGTGCTAGCTACTTGATAGTCACGTTATTAAGAGTTCTTTAGAAAATTATGCAAACATCAATGATCTTTTAACTGTCACCATGTGCTCTCAAAACCTACTTAATTAAATCGATCTATCGATGTTCTTGGCGTTATCTTTTACAGGGACCTTATTAGAATTATAAAGTATAAGATATGGTCTAGGACAAGTAAGTGCCAGCTCCTAGGTGGTGGTCATTATTAAGAGTTCTTTAGAAAATTATATGCGACATAGTGATCTATGACTGCCACCATGTGCTTTCAAAACTTATTTAATTAAATTGATTGATAGTTGTCTTTCAAGCGATTTTGATAAAGATCATTATTTGAAGCATTTAATTTATTTTGGAGAGCGATGAGGTTAAAGGACTGTTTTTTTATCAACTCATCACCTCATCAAACACAGACAAATTTCTTTATAAAGCTTGATCAACTCCTTACATTGCAACGATCCACACCACCATCGTCTCAATTAGCATCTTCAATTTATTTTGGAGTGCGATGAGGTTAAAGGACTTTTTTTTTTCTCAATGTCGTATTTGCAAAATTATCATAAATTTGACGGAACATTAGTGGCGACAAGGGTAATTATTGAGGAAAACTCAAAGTATCCTTATAAAAAATTTCATCAATTCCGATTTGTCTACTACATTTAAAGAATTACCACTATTCATAATGAGGCAATGGTAAAATTTCAAATTAGGGATTAAAATAAAATCATTTTTTTTTCAAAGAGAGTACAGAGTGGGCACCGTCTCAAATGAAGACCTAAAGTGAGGCCATTTTCTCAAAGAGCGCCTAGAATGGACATTGTCTTAAATTAGGATATGAAGAAATCAATTTAATCTAAGGGTATGAAATGAACTTCATCCAATTTACTCTGTTTCTATTTTTCCTTCTTTTTTTTTTCCATATAATCAACTATGCATGAAAATTCCAATGAAAGAATGGAAGGGTCTAGAACGGGAAAGATTATAGAAAGCCACAGTTCAACAGTTCCAAGAACTGCTCATTTTGTCCATACTTCAAATTAGAAAAACTTTTTTCAATGTTGATTGGTGATACTGATACCACAAATTCCCCAACAAGTGATCATATCCAAATCCATTGGGTACATGATAGATTCGCAAATTCATTGAGTTTGAAAGGCTTGAATTCAGCTTGAACATATTTAAGACAAAATTAACCACTTGAGACCTTTATTTGAGACTAAGTTGGCTACTTCAAGCCATTCTTTGAGATAAAGTACACTGTGGGCCATCTTTTGAGAAAACGACCCCATTTCAGGCTACTTCTCTTGGACTCGATAAATAACCATTCATTCTCAGATGACCATGCCCTTTTGAAATCATCAATTAGCGGTTGGTTCTACTCTTGCCAGCAACAAAATGTCTCTCGAAATCGTCAGAACGACTCTTTGATATCAGCAACGTGTCTTTGATAGTGTCAGTGTACTTTTGTCAGACCGTCTCTTGCTCAATAATGCTGAACTGCTCTTGATCAACTTTGGTGCTCATTTCCAGATTCAAAAGGCTTGAAGATAATTGTTGGACACCATATTGAGGTTGGCAAGAGAACGTTACATGTCTTCCACCCCTATGATATTGGCAGTTGCTTTTGCCAACAATCTGCTGCTCCAGTAACAACCCGTTGCACCCGATAATTCTGGTCCTTCTAAGCATATTAGCAATTGCGACTTTGCTAAGCTGTTCATCGTCATAGACCTTCTAAGCTATACTGAAAAATTCCCGTTATAAACTTGTTCACCATCACCAATGTCCATCCAACTGTATACCTTATCTTGGTCCTTCCAAGCCATCACGAACATCCCCGTTCTTCTCCACTTATTCATGCTCGATCAAGGTCCTTGCAGATGTTCACTTTATAGGAAGATTCTTCCAACTTGTAAACATCTTAACACCTGATAATTTGTTCACCCTCAATATCGTTAGCGATCCGTCGATATTGGTAGAACACTTTTGACAATGGCAGAGCACTCCTCATATCAGAATCTCACGGTGCTAATTATGATACCATCTGCATTGTGGCTTGTGTGTTTATCACATGGTACTACTCAACTAATACACACATTTGTAGCCTTTAATTGTCTTTATCTTCATCAAAACAACATATGAGATTATCCTAATAGAAAAAATTTGTTTTATGGTGCTTGATAATAAGCGAATCCACGAAAGGCAACTCTTATCGTAAAAAATGGCATGTAATGACTAACAAATTTGAATCAACATCTTCTTTGTTTATTTTGGAATTTATCAAAATAACAAAATTATGAAATCATATTTACAAAACGTTATAGATGATGCTGTCTTTTAGGAACATAGAAAATTTGAGCATTAATGAGGTATATCCAGGATGATAGACAAGATTTATAAAAAAAAAACAGATCAGATTTATTGAAAAAGAAAAAGAAAAAAATTCGTGAGAGATAGAAAATAGACATAGAGAGACTTATCCTTCTCACTTGGACACGCAACAAGAAATCAGGAAAAATGATTAAATTCTCGATTTTTCCCGATTTAAACTTGTTGTTTTCTGTCCTCCAAATGCCGGGAAGTCCAAAAACAATTTCTCATAAATGGTTTTTCACCAAACAAGCCGACCCTTAAGTTACCATGACGTCGAATTTGTTGCTCGCCAACCAAACTCGACCTAAGTTTGAGGTTTTGGATATAAAAGGCGCAAAGTAGAGTTGAAAAATGAATGCCGCGCGGATCCCGAGTTCGACTTTCCAAGAGGCTAAGATGAAAAGCAAAAACAAGTCTTACCTTCAATTTGGAGGACGCTAAGAGTCAGATCCATTCTTCGATACGAAATGGTGTTTCCGTTTGACTTTTCCTCACCAAACACTGCCGCGGTCCTCACCATGAAATATTCTAAAGTAAAGAAAAACTCTTATCCCAAATTTTGCGGACACTTACATCATTAACTGCCATCCGCAGCTGCGTAGCACAGAAACTTCCGCGCTCCCTCTTCTTCTTCTTCTTTTATGTATCTCTGCAACTTGAAAATTACTCATTTTCTGTTCCAATCATAACGTGGCCATTGACCGCCATCGCTTTCGTTTCATACTGTGCCAATGCCGACCCGCTTCCAAAATCCATATGGTATGGATATATATGGACCATCCTCCCTGCGCTTATAGCACAAACCACCCGAACTCTTTCGCTTCTACAGAAGGAAATTTATATTCCTAATTCTGAAATCTCTCTCCGTCGTCACCTTCTTCGCTTTCAGTTCATTCCCCACTAACCCTAAAAAGGAGGGGAGGAAAAGAAAGCCTCCGAATTTTCTCGGCGATTCTTGATCTCATCAATTCTTTTTCTGGGAAAAGTCTTGTCGTTCCCCGGATTCCTACTGATATAGAACCGGGTCAAATGATCCTTTCTTTCTGTTTCTTTGGTTTAGTGTATTAGTTCGAACTCTCTTTTTCTGGGTTCGATTGTATTTTGCAGTTCAATCCGTTCGTCATTCTTTCTGCTCCAGAGATTTTGTATTTTCGATTTTAAAGATGAGAAGCGAAGGAGCTTTTTACTATTCATCGGACAACAACAATAATTCGGATACGGACAGCACCGGCAGCGACGGCCGTGCAGCCTTCAGTGGGCCGCTCGGATCAACCCTTCACAGCTCCAAGCGATCCTCGAGAAAGAGCGCGAGGTTCAACATCCCTCTTGAGACAGCGGGGCTCCGAAGCGGGAGCGACGCCTCGAAAGCCGAGGACGATGACGGCGAGCCATATGTCGAGATCACCCTCGACATACGGGACGATGGCGTTGCCGTCCACAGCGTGCAGACCGCTGGCGGGGCAACCGACCTCGAGGACCCCGAGCTGGCGCTACTCGCGAGGAGGACGTTCGAGACCCGGAGGTCGTCGTCATTTGGGTCGTCAGTCCTCCGGAGTGCCTCGTCCCGTTTCCGGCAGGTCTCGCAGGAGCTGAAGCGCATCACCTCGCTCTCGCGGCGGCCAACGACACCAGCAAGGCGCTTCGACCGGACGAGGTCGGCGGCGGCAACCGCGCTCAAGGGCCTCAAGTTCATCACCGCCAAGACGGGCGGCGCCGCTGCCGGGGGCGGGGCACCCGGGTGGCTATCAGTCGAGAAGCGATTCGACCAGTTGACCGCTTCGTCGGCCGGCCTCCTGCATAATTCCCAGTTCTGTGAATGCATAGGTAAATTAAAAAACCTGAAAAAGTACTCCCATTTCTTTTGTTATTGCACTATAATTTAGTAGTTCTTTACAACTCAATAATGTCCGTTTCGTGTGTTAATAATTGCAATTAGGAATGAACAAAGAGTCAAAGGACTTTGCGAACGAGCTGTTTCGGGCGCTTGCACAGAGGCGCAACATAGATGGCGACACCATCAACAAGGATCAGCTCAGGGAGTTTTGGGAACAGATCAGCGACGAGAGCTTCGACTCGAGGCTACAAACTTTCTTCGACATGTAAGCAAGCAGTGCTTCATACTAGTGTTGATACTAATTTTTCGTTTTCGTGTAGGTATTGAACAAGTTAATATTATTGTAAAACAAAATGATTATTAAAACGAAATGACTGTTCTGTGTGATTCAACGTTAGGGTGGACAAAGATGCCGATGGGAGAATCACCGAGGAAGAAGTCAGAGAGGTATACATACAATGCCACCTAAAACTAAGATCTGGTCAGAGGAGCCTGATGAATTACTGTGATTATTAATATTAATATTGTTATTATTATTATTTTCTGTGAGTCTATTTATAAATAGAAGTTGCTCGGACGTGGAATTGTTCAATTCAATTGAAAGAAAATAAATCCTTTTTTTTTTTTGTGTAGATCATCAGCCTCAGCGCATCAGCGAATAAGCTATCAAATATCCAGAAACAAGCTCAGGAATATGCAGCTCTCATCATGGAGGAGTTGGACCCGGAGAATAAGGGATACATCATGGTACATATCATTAAACACTTCCGTTGATTTAAGACATCGTTAATTAGTGAATAATTTATTTACATCACATGTAATTTGGACAAGTGCTACGAACATTTAACGTGGTCATTATTAGCAATAAAGTAGAATCACTTATCGAAATGAACTTTTTCACTAGGATTTTTCACTAGGCACGTATGAAATAGCCATCCATATGTAACACGTTCTTGATTTGCCCTATGCAGGTTTACAACCTGGAAACACTGCTCTTGCAAGCTCCGAATCAGTCCGTGAGGGTCGGAGACAGCAAAGTCCTGAGCCAGCTTTTGAGCCAGAAGCTCAAACCGACCATCGACGATAGCCCGCTCCACCGATGGGGCGAGAGGGCCAAGTACTTCCTGATGGACAACTGGAAGAGGCTGTGGGTGATGGTGCTATGGATCGCGATCATGTCGGGCCTCTTCACCTACAAGTTCATCCAATACCGGAACAGGGCGGCCTTCGGCGTGATGGGCTACTGCGTCTGCGTCGCGAAGGGTGGCGCCGAGACGGTCAAGTTCAACATGGCACTCATCCTGTTGCCCGTCTGTCGAAACACCATCACGTGGCTCAGGAACAAGACCCGGTTGGGTGCTGCGGTCCCCTTCGACGACAACCTTAACTTTCACAAGGTAATGCGTCCATTATTTTAATTACAGAGATTATTACTAATCTAATGATGAAATGAGAGACTCCACATAAGAATACTTATACAATTAAGCATTGGAAAAAATTGTGGGAATTATCTACTATTGTATACTATGACAAAAATACGTGTCAAGATGATATACACAATCATTTTGCTTGCAATTCATACTCACATTTGGCTAATTGTAAATTATTGTATCTCGCTAACTTCATGGACTTTTGTTGCTCGAAATAATCTTGATTCAGAGATCTCGATAAACACCTCGATCTTATAACATATTCCTAACGTATGTACAATCGCAGGTGATCGCGGCAGGGATAGCTGTCGGGGTTGGCTTGCACGCAATCTCTCACTTGACGTGTGACTTCCCGAGGATCCTGCATGCGAGCCCCGAGGTGTACGCGCCCATGAAGCCCTACTTCGGCGAGGAGCAGCCCCCGAACTACTGGTGGTTTGTGAAGGGAGTGGAGGGCGTGACGGGGATCATCATGGTGCTCCTGATGGCAATCGCCTTCACGTTGGCCATGCCTTGGTTCAGGCGGAACAAGATCGACGTGCCCGGGCCCTTGAAGAAGCTCACGGGCTTCAACGCCTTCTGGTACTCGCACCACCTCTTCGTCGTGGTCTACACGCTGCTCGTCGTCCATGGGATCAAGCTCTACCTCGTCCACAAATGGTACAAGAAAACGGTAACCTTCCTTACCCTCCTTCCAATTGTTACAAGTTTAGTCACAGTTGTTACTTCCAATAATGTTATTCTCTATTTAATTACTATTTCTTCAATTATGATCGCAGACATGGATGTACTTGGCAGTGCCGGTGACCCTCTATGCATGTGAAAGGTTGATCCGGGCTTTCAGGTCCAGTATCAAGCCGGTCAAGATTCTCAAGGTATTTTAATACAAACCCTAAACCAAACGGCCATAGTTTAATCTGCAGATTTCTACTCATCATCATCTGGTGCAAATAATTAACCAGTAATCTATTCATCAACCAATTAAGATGTCATATATGTTAATATAAAAAACTTGATGGGCAATGCAGGTGGCGGTTTATCCAGGGAATGTACTGGCACTGCACATGTCGAAGCCCCATGGCTTCAAGTACAGAAGTGGGCAGTACATGTTCGTGAACTGCTCAGCTGTTTCTCCCTTTGAATGGTAGCTCTCTCTCTCTCTCTCTCTCTTTCTGTCATGACATTTGTGATGATACATGATGTTGATGCACATGTAAACCTATGGAAAGTTCGAGCATTAGTATCTAAATGAGAGAATAACTGGTGTTTGATCATGAGCAGGCACCCATTCTCGATCACTTCTTCACCGGGAGATGACTACCTCAGCGTTCACATTCGGACATTGGGAGATTGGACAAGGCAACTGAAAACCGTGTTCTCGGAGGTTGGTTTAATGATTGATTAATCACCACTCGTGGGATTATGGTTCTAAGGGTTTCTGGGAGCTAATTAATTACATTTTATGGATTGGTAGGTGTGCCAACCTCCACCCGTTGGGAAGAGCGGATTGCTGAGAGCTGATTGCGTTCCAGGAGGAAGCATCCCCTGGTAAGACTTTTAGCTAGGTTGCACTAAGTTTAAAGGAAAAAGAAACTTTTAAATCTTGAAATAATCAGTCGGTTTCCCGAGATATATGGCAATCATAGGGTGAGAAAAATGTCCAAAAGGTGTAATGATGAAGATGATTTCAATCTTTTGATTTACCTTGTGCTTTTATAGTGGATCTGTTTAGTTAACACTCGAGCGCGCCTGATTTAATAGTTCGCATTGATTATGCTTATATATAATTAAAAGAACGTTTCTTAGTTAATTGATGTCAATTTAGTGGACAGAGAAATCAAACTTTTCAGTTCTTGCCGGATACTAAAGATGGGAGTTAAGATTTATAAAAGTCGAGCCTCCAAACAATAAGAAAAGGGATCAAACGAGAGTCGGTAGTGATTGATCTAGGGAATTGCTTAAAGAAATGATGTACCAAGTCCGTGATAGATTTAAAAAACATAGTACAAGACCGGAAGAATGAGACCCTACAGTCTTGTTTGGTTTTATCTTATTTTTCTTTATGGTGTCATCAATCATTGTTGAAGGAAAAGATGGTGCATTCAATTTAAAAACTATATGATTGAATAATTTGTTGATCCATGATTGCTTTTTTTTCCTAATTTGTTCAGCTTCCCAAAGATATTGATAGACGGTCCATATGGAGCACCCGCACAAGACTACCAAAAGTATGAGGTGGTGCTACTGGTGGGGCTAGGGATTGGGGCCACGCCCATGGTGAGCATCGTGAAGGACATCATCAACAACATCAAAATCAAAGAAAATGAGCAAGACCACTTCAATTCGTTGGAAAGTGGTAGACCCATCTCGCCACTAACCCCGGATGATGACAACAGCAACAGCAACCACACCAATCACGGTCACAAGGTGGGTCACAAGGGGGGCAACCACAGCAGAGGAGGGTTCAGGACCAGGAAGGCCTACTTCTATTGGGTGACCCGGGAGCAGGGCTCGTTCGAGTGGTTCAAGGGGATCATGGACGAGGTGGCCGGGATGGACGAGCGGCGGGTCATCGAGCTCCACAACTACTGCACCAGCGTGTACGAGGAGGGCGACGCCCGGTCAGCCCTCATCGCGATGCTCCAGAACCTGAACCACGCGAAGCATGGCGTCGACGTCGTGTCTGGGACCCGAGTCAAGTCCCACTTCGCCAAGCCCAACTGGCGCCAGGTCTACAAGAAGATCGCGCTGCAACACCCGGAGACAAGAGTTGGTGGGTTCCCACTTAACCTAATCCACGCCTGCCATGTCTTTTAGTGACGCTGTTTGATTTGGACAATTTCTCACATTATTTGTACTACGATGAACAATTTTGCAGGAGTCTTCTATTGTGGGGCACCAGCGTTGACAAAGGACTTGAGGCACTTGGCTCTGGATTTCTCTCACAAGACCTCCACCAAGTTCGACTTCCATAAGGAGAACTTTTGAAGAAGCTTGAACAGCTAGAAGCAAAAAGATGTGGCATGGGATAAAAAATGTATAAATAAAGCCGAAGGTGAATATTATATCGGTTAGTTATAGTCAATTTATTCGTAACGATGAGTAGAGAACCGGTACTAATTTGGGATTAATTCCATCCCTGCTTGGGATTTGAATGATGTGCCCTCATATTAGATTTAAGCTGACCCAAACCTAATTGCAAATATAGAGTTAGATATAGGGAGTTATTTCATTGTGTAACACTGATCAGAGATGTATACCTCAAATTTATAATATCATTTGTTAATCGCATCACCCTGGAATTGATAGGTGGTGATGTTCCGCATTTCGAGGACTTTTCGTTCATTCTTCTTCTCAGTTTTCTATATAGACATCAATGAGTTACCTTGAAAATAATACCCTTGATTATCATCCGCTGATGGGACATATTTTGGAACAATATGATTTCTCGAAAAGCTCTTCTGGATCACAACTTTACCGTTAATGAAGAATTTAAAATTGTCATAAACCATCTCATCAAAAGGCAATATCTAGTCTCGGACTTGGTTCTTTGTTCAAGTTCATAGTAACACGAAAGCGATACATTGCAGAATGGTCCATACCCAGTTCATCCTTCGGAACAACGGGCGCCAAACCCCCAAAGCAATAAATTTAGGTTTGGTTTGAACTAAATTGTTCTCCTCATCAATTCCTACTTCTAGATCTTTTTCACCCACCACATCAAGTGAATCTTGTACCAAATGAAGGGGCATTATCTTTTAACGCTCTTCCGGATCGCTCAGAAGTCACTTTGTTAATTGAATATTTTTCTTTCTTCTATCGGCACGACACGAAAATATCTCAGTGGATCCATTTAGTCTTTTTTTTTTTCGATTAATCTAATGACACGAGGAAAGCAAGAAGCATCAACCCTAGATTTGGTTTTGAAAACACTAAGTCTAAACATAGGAAAGTTGATGAACATGTTCTTTCATTGGTACCAGAAAGATAGATTTTCTCTTGTAGTGGGAAATCCATTATAACACGCCACTAACACGGGATGATTACACTTAATTCAAAGGCGTAATGGATGGCTTTTTCGGACATCAAGCCTGTTAATCATTGAATTTTGGGAGCTCTTAATCCTTTTATTTTTGTTTTATTTAAATTGGTTTTAAACTTTTCACCAACTATATTTTTGACGTGCACATTGGTATTGGGGGAACTGTGCTAATTGATAAGACTGAATTATCACATGCCACCAGTTGTTCACTATCGTTAGTGCGATGCTGAGGGGGACCGGATCCCTTTTAGCTATTCAAGAATCATGAGTACGATTGGACATCTTTCCGAGCCTCAATCGAGTGAATTGGAAGAACCTGAGTCAAAGATCGATCTTTGATTTTTTTTCTTTCTCTTGGTCAAAAAAAAAAATTCGTTGATTTTCCTCGAGTCGAGACCCCCAATCCTAGTCTGATCCCGACGGTGAGAGCTATTGGAAAATTGGTAAATAAGTCATCACGATCAACAATGATCAATATCTATAGGGTCGATATCGAAGAGTTTTTAGATCCTTTCAAAATATCACGAATTGATAATTCTATATATATATATGGAGGAGATTATTGTTGCTACCTTAGTATCCCGGAGAAAGTATCTTATGCATCTATTTTACATATCGTTGACAGGTGGGTATGGGGAGTCCAACCAAGATTTCTTTATTAATTTTTCCTCAAAATTTAAACCCAAAAGTAAATTTCCTCGATGACAAGAGTTCACTTAATCTATACTACTATACAAAGAGAGTAGTCGAATTTGGTACCACACCTTAGAAATACACCACGACTTTGTGAATTATCTAACAGCATACCGCGTGCTTCTCCATCTCAACGTAGAACACATTTTCACATTGGGAAATTGCCGAAAGGAAAGAAAGAAAAGTAGAATTGACATGAGTCAAAGAGCAGATCTGGACTTTTGGAAAGTAAGGCGTACGCGACATCATCATCTCTTGGTCACGGGCGACGTCTCACACCAGCAACCTTCGAATCCTCCAATGCCTAAGTGCTCACCTAACGCGCACCACCGGCTTCGCTCCCTACTAATGCTTTGAAAATGACTCCACGACGTGTTAATGTTAGGAAGGAATGCTTCAACGTTGACAGATTCAAACGATTGTTGAAAAACATGGACCGTGTGCTCCTTCTTGCCCACAGTATCCGCTGCATGTTTTGGTAGTAGCTGGTTGTCTCGAGCACTCGTACTTTTTTCCCTTGGTTTTCTTTTCTGGCGTGAAGCTTTAATTGCATGTTAGTTTCAAGAGACCAAGTCTTTCACGATGAAATGAAATTATAGGTAGGACTATCGGAGAAGGGTGGCTCTTGGCCGGTAGGACAAACTTTTTGTCTATTGAATCCTGCAGATTTCGAGAATTAAGTTTGGATGAATCGGTGATCGAGAGTTTGGACTCTAGAGAAGGGCGAACATCGCATCGATCCATCGAATTATAAGTCATTGGTGAATCTTAAGAGTTGCCCGATGTTCAGAACGCGGTTGAACGAGAAGCTACCTTGTGCTGGACTTGTAATCAAGATACATATGTTTGACAAGTGGGAATGACCATTTCAACATTGAATTTGCCCACTTCGAGTAGTTGATACAATAGAAGTCGTAACAAGGCATTCGTAATCAAAGGTTAAAAAATGGTCGACGATCGGAGTAAAACTAAATATAGAGTCAAAGTACGCGACAATTCAGGGACGTGCATGAGGAGGAATTCGCGAAACTCACATCTCCGAGTCAACCCCGGCGGAGAGAATTGTACTCCCCGTCTTGCAGTCCAAAAAATGGCTTGCTCGCGAGCTGAGGGATTTTGAAGGAAGCAACCATAAAGTCTGGATCAAAGAATCCCAAGAAACAAAATACAAGAATTACCTCCTCTTACTACAAGATTGAGAATGCTGTAGTGCAGGACTAAGAGAGGAACGGAATGAAACTTCCATGTACCACTCTCGTCAAATTTCAATTCGAAATTCGAGCACACTAAAGTTCATCCTAACTAATGAGTAACCCATATGGTAACAAAAATCTCGTGACCAACCTCGGCCGAGCTATGCTGAGTTCATCTCGTTGCATCTGCAGCTAAAATAAAATGCTGCTGTTACTGTTGCAGAGAAGCCCAAAACAAAGGCCTATTTGGATAGGTGGATATGGCTCAGCTCATTAAGTGAATCTCTCAACATATAAAAGGCCTCATGCTCACTTCTTAGCGTGAAACCAATCTGGACCGTGCAAACTGCCACAAATTGGAACTACTAATGAGCTGCAGAAAGCAGGGACTCGGAATCAACATTAATAGAAGGCAAAGTACAAGTGTGAATCAACGCAGTCCTGATCACTTCTAAAGAGATAGTTTTGATGCTTTGTGCCATTCGATGAGCTACCATGTTATTAGGCAGTCTGAAATATACTCCCTCCCTCTCCGATAAGCTTCAGACCAAGTGACGTCACCAGTTATGTGAGAGATGCGTCTAGTATTATTTGGGCGCAAGAGAAATGACCTTCTGAGTATCTGACTATTCATTCTAACGGCCAGGTTTTAAACAGATGTAGGTCAAAACATTCTTGCAAACTTGTGTTAGGGACGGGAAACAATCAAGAGTTAATGCAGAAAGTGTGACAAGAGTAGCTCATTCACCTGTGTGCCAATGCTGGAATTACTATGAACATGCATGTAATTTTCATGAGATCGTCCGCTTTCTGAGATCTTTTCCTCCTTAATACGTTCGACACTGGATAGATGCTAGATGCTAATGGGAACTGATAAGTAATGACATGACTGGTCCTCTTTCTTTTAGCCAAATACTATGGATGATCATTGCAACGGAAAGGCGCAGCTTTTTGAGGAAATCAAGAATAAAAAAGAGAGAAAAAAGCAGAAGAAACAGTGAGTCTATGGAAGCCAAAGCCTCTGCAGACTTCAAATTCAGCATCTGAACTAAAGTCCAAAAAGAAGGAACCAGTCAAGTAGGTTACCAATAAAACTCGGGCTCTAGAGAACCAAAGTTACACAATCTACCATATAAGTAAGAGCAGAGGCCTAAAGCTTTCCCTGCATAATTTGTTAAATGCTATGACTTATGCCTGCAACAAACTTCCAAAGCTTCAACATGTCAGTCAATAATGCATGAAAGAGCCCCCTCTGGATGATAAGAACACATATCCAGAATGGCAAACATCTTCTAAACCGAGAGAATTGTGAGAAATGTAAACTGCAGAGGCTTTCTAGATTTATCACCGTCTTCTCTTGACGTCCTTACTCTCTTTTCTGCTGCTTGAAATGTGGGCTGAATCAGTTGTAATACCATGATTATCAGTACCCTTATTAACAGAAGATTCATCCACCATCATAGCAGCGGAATAACTTTTGATCCTGAAGGATATAAGAATGCTCGATAAAATCCCAAGCATGGGAAACAAGAATGACCAGACCCTAGATTTGTTAGTTCCAGAAGCTGTGGCCACGGCAGCACCAGCAAGGCTGCCGATGGATATATTCTGTAGGATCATTGGCACACAGCCAATGACTGTGGGAAGGAGGAAATCCAATACAAACCCAACATTGGTAGCCGCCAGGGCATAGTTTATTATGTATGATGGTATGGGTGAGAACCGAGCAAGAAGAACAAACTTCCAACCATCTCGTTCAACTCCCCTAGAAAGCAGATGAAAGTATCTGTTGCTTTGAGCCCATTCCATTGCTGAATTTGAACTCCTAAAAACTAGCCTGAGGAAACCAAAATGTTATAATGACTCTCGTGAATGAAGGAAACCTAAATCATATTGGAGAAATGTAGAAAGAGGCATAGCATAAAGAAAATTTCAGGGGCACATATGATAGGTCAGCTTAGATAGATTCTAAATGCAGTAATGGAGACAATTAAAAGCAGTATGACGAAAAGATAGTTGAACTAAAGCATGAATCGTAGTTACTTTGGTGAGTTGTTAAATTTAGAACAAAAAAGGTGTTGGTTGTTGAAGTGCCAACAGGGATGTATAGAAGTTACTTTCATAAGTTGTGCAACGACAGTTATTGTAACCTTGGGAGAGTTGAGTATTTCAAAAAAGTATGTTGGACTTAATGGAGTACCCTAGAAGCGTTGGAACGTAACCAAGCTTTCAATAAAATCTCAAGGATCCAAAAAATGCCAAAAAATTACTTCTGGTTCTATATACACTGTTAGATGTTGTCTAAAAATTGATATGGTTGACGGAGATATTTTTTGATTATCTAAAGCTTGCTTCTAGAGGTAGAGGAGGGCCAAAAAAACCCCCAGAAAATTCATTAGAGTACCTTGCATATGTCCAGGCTATAAAAAGCAAATACAAGTATAATGAGTGTCACTTTTCTTTTCTTTTCTTTGCTTTTCTGTTTTGGCCAATGAAGTTACCACTCTAATGAGGACATTGGGTGATATAGGAGTTTCTTATAGTAATATGCCTGCATCAAAGTTATGCTTTAACAATAAAGACAAACAACTTTACTGCCCACGATCAAGGCATCATTCTCCAGGTACGCTTTCTTCTGATGAGATTGTTTTGCATAATGAAACAAAGCAAAAGTATATCAATTGAAGTAGAGAAACTTGGAAGTTAAAGGCTTCTGCTGAGTACATAAACAGTGGAGGGAGAAGAAAGAACTATTTTAAGCTCAAGCATAGTGACAAGTCTGTAAATCCGGAGGCACTAAAGGGAAAAATCAAAGTTAGATAAGATAAGCATGACATTGACAACTGCATCAGATTTCTTGTTCAATTAGAGAATGTCACTAAAGCTCAAGGAAAACGTTCTACAGGACTTCCACAAAACTAGCTACAGTAATAGGGAAGGTATAGTAATACTATGAATAACCCAATATCGAATATCAGCAAAAGAAAGTTCTCCTGTGCTTAGCATACTACAAGGTTGATGCCTCCTTAGTTATATATCAATGGAAAGAAGGCCAACTATGGGACATTCTTTGGGGAGATCTGTATCTGAAGCAATGCACCCTAAACCCATGTCTAAACCTGGGAACCCTGAAATACATGATGCAGTGGATCTAATTGCATAGATCAAAACTCTTACTCTGTTTATTTTTAACATTTGATATCTTCATATGGTGCTGACTACTAATATAAGAATCAAACTACATTTGGATCCTCACATAACCTCTCACATATTGGCACATTGGGTGCTTGGCCAGTCAGGCCAGAATTAGGCAAGAGTACTCTGATATTGACATACAGCTGACAAGGCGTTCAGCATCCATATATAAACATATGAGTATTCCAATAAAAACAAAAAAAACATATTTGAAACATGTGTGAAATGGTTTTTCATAGGCACAACATAACTATCACCATCTTTGGGAAATTCCTCAGGCTTCTTAGATAAGAAAAGAGGTATCTCTTCTTAAGTTTATGCTATCATATCATATCTCCCACATTTTCATTAGGTTGGAATAGAAAGATAAAATTATTCATCAAAATTAAAATTGATTGCTAATAGAGTCCAAATTATCCCCATGAAAAGAAGAACGAATCTACCCTTTTACCAATGGCAACTATGGTCATGACAAGACCAAACTATGATATGGAAATTGAGATTCTACGGCCTGATGAATTGGGAGAAGACTAAATAACACATAGGAACCTAAAAAACACGCAAAAGAGTACAATAACGCGAAATGTGATGCGAATTAGTTAGGCGGGAACTCCCTGTTGCACTCATTATTCCTCGAAAAAGGTTAATTTAACGCAATAAAATCATCTCATCTCTGAAAACACGATCACAATCACAAAGTTACCATCCTCATATTATGGTTTAGCAAAAAGAAAACCTTTCATCACATTAACCCATCCAGAAAGAAAGCACAGCCACAATGGAGCTTGGGGAAACTAGCAAGATGCAAATTCATACAAAAACCCAAGTACCAAATGTTACCCACCCACACAGTAACCAGTACGAACTCCATTATAAGACGGCAATCTAAATAAGAGAACCGTACCTGCCGATCCCAAACGAGAGCGAAGCGCCGAGCAACTTGGCGGCGAACACACAGAGGACGGCAGTGGAGAACCCAAAGAGGAGAGAAGCCCCGGCCTCGAAGAAGATGGCGTAAGGGAGGCAGAGGGCGAGAGTGAGGGTGTGAACCCCGACGTACGCGGGGATCGCCCACACGCCCAGCCGGTCGGACCATTCCTCGAACACCCTGAGCGCACTCTCCTTGTCCCACCCGTATCGCTTGTTCGCTTCCCTCATCGCGCCCAGCACCCCCAAGAGCACGGCGATCTTCCACCACTTGCCGCCTCCCATGGTCCCTCCCGGAGCAGCCCCTCCTCCTCCTTCCCGATCGCCGGAAATTCCGCAAAACCCGAGACGGCGGCCGGGGGCGGCGTCACTTCCCGTTCGAATTGGGCAAGGGGGGAGGAAGTTGGAAGAGGAAGGGGAATTCGTGAGTCGCCGGCGACTGTGTCCGGCGTCGAGTCCTCGGTGCGACGAGGTTTATGCCGTGAATCGCAAAGGAGGCGGCGAATGTTCTGCGATCGGAACGCGAAGGTCCAGTTGGCTCCCCTCGAATGTTTTGTTTCGTTTGTTTATTGGACAAGGGATGATGACACCAAAGAGTTCCGAATTTTGGCTAAACGTATAACGCAGTCTTTAAAATTTTTAATTTATTTAATATAATTTCTGAACTTTAGCTTAATACTCAATAAGATCCATGAACTTTTAATTTTGTTCAATGTAATTCCTAGACTTTTGGTGCACTTTTGACGTAGTCCATAAACTATATGAAAATGTTCAATATAATCCATAAATTAATATAATGACTACGTTGAATATTTTCATATACTTTTGGACTAAATTGAACATGTACCAAAAATTCAGGGATCACATTGCACATCGGGTTAAAATTCAATGGCTAAATTGAACAAATTAAAAGTTCAAGGATCAAATTGAACATTTGACCAAAATTCATAAGCTTTTTGTGTCATTTTCCTTTGGGCAATAAGAAAAGTCTAAGCTCCCATGGGAGCTGTTTTGAGCAGTAAGATTACAACAGAAAAAATTTGGACCGTTTAAAAAAAAAAGGCATAACAGCTTAATTGCTAATTTGGGTTACTGGTAAGAACTTACCGCCATTTAAGGAAAATTACTGACTCTGGAAATCACGAAGTACAAGGACGATTATTTATGATAGTTTCTCCTATTTACAAATTTTTTTTTTTACGATTATCAAGACGATTTATTAAGAACAGGATAAATGAAACTTACAAATAAGTTTGTGTTGTTCACGACTATTCGTGATAATTAAAAGTGCAATCAAGTTTACCACATCTTAAGGTAAATTACAATTGTTGAAGGTCAATTACTAAGCACATAAACAAAAAGTTACGATTTGTTGAGGGAAATTACATGGTTAATAGATAATTACTAGGTAATAGCGTCCTATGTTATGAAGTATACAGGAAAGTTACGACTTATGAGACGTAGACTTTGCTCCATAAAACTGAAAAGTAAGTGTTAAAAAGTTGAACACTCCATTTTGAGTTTTCATATTATTAAATGTTAAAAAAAATGAAAAATTGGTTATTGATGAGTGGTTAATTTCTTACCAACCATGAAAGTCTGATCTTTATTGGTAGGTTTTAACAAGGAAAAATTTCTATATATAGCATTAAATTTAGCTCTTTCTTTACTAGATTAAGTGAAATTTTAATCCGATTGACTCTCATCAAACAATCTTATCTCATTGGGAGCTTTTTTTTTTATATAACTTTCATGCTTTAGTTACAACCCTAAGAAGGAGTCATGCGAGTTTTTACAAGAGAATCGATAAATTCGTCATGATCGTAGCAGCTTTTAAGAAGACGTCTCATCCAACTTTGAGTGCTGCAACTTTAAAACATGTATTATCAACAACGCGAGTTAAAAAAATTTTACAACACGGTTACAGTGTAATATAGTAACGTCATAGTCTTAGCTGTGTCGAATGCATTCGACACTCAATTGGATTATCAAAGTGAAGAATGAGGAGAGGGATAGGTCGCTCTTCGAACATCTCGTGTGATCCTCCATGAAGTTTGATGGGCTCTTGACCCATTCGATGTAAAAGCCCAGCAAAGGTAACCGTTTGGGCCATATTCCGAATTGGCAAGGCCTCTTTCACCAGCTGCATTTCTCGAGGACCCCGCACGACGGCCCGGCGATCTCGGAGGGAGACTCGGGATCGGATCGCGGGTCTGAAAAATCCGGGTCCTCTAATTCGAAGCCGATCTCGCCGGAGAATTCATTCCACTGCGAACCCTGCGCGCATGGCCGCCTCGGGATGATATTCGGTACCATGTAGTCATTGCAGGATAGAACAAGACATCTTCGCCTTAAGCTAGCGAACAACAGCTCCGAGTTCGTAGGTTCAATTCCCGGTCCAGTGAAAAATAGCCCCCTTCAATTTCCTCTGTGCAATTCGATCTTCAGTTAACTTTGGTATCTAGATTCTTCGACTTCGATCTCAACCCCAGCGACTCCCCGTAGAAACCTCTAAATCCGATCGTCTTATGGTTGTTTGAAGGATGGGTCAATTTGCTTCACCTAAGGGTGGTCGGTTCCCATGTTGGGCCGATCCAGTTTAGGGTTTGCAATTTCATTTTCTTTACTCTTAAAAAGAAAAGGAAAAATAAAAAAATAAAACATATTAGCCCTATCCAGTCCGGGTGGTTCGGTTCTGCATCTAGAATCGAGAACCGAACCGATAATTCTCGATTCCACATTTTGGAACTGGGAACTGCCTAGAACCAACCAGATGGGTCCGATTCCCGTGCACACCCCTAGCTTCACCTTCCCATCGTCCGAACTAGATTGCTTAGGCTCAACAGCACGGAGCGTCGAAAAAGTCGGGTCGCGCACAATCTTCGGATTAGCCGAGTCAAAAGAATCGCAAAAAAAAAAAAAACAGCACGTGAGCTTCTGTCCTAATCCGAGCAACTGTTCCAAGTTAGAAACTTCACGAGTCCCAAGGATGCTCAGGAGGTGTGGACAGATTCTCAACAAATGGGGCTTAGGATTCGGAGCAACACCTAACGTTACCAGACCATACCATACCATCGACAAGCAAAACACGTTCAAAAGATGAACAGGTTCGATCCCCTACAACAAAAGTCAGCAATTCGGGCACTAGTCAAGACCAGAATTTGTCCTCCTTGTCTTCCCCCTCAATTCCTTACCCCCACCCCCCCGCTTCCGAAGATCCGCGCACGTGCGTCCCCGAGTCAAAAGATTAGGCTATCGACCATGCAAAAAATTATTCCCAGCGTGGGGTCCTCCAGCGACAACGGGCGGTCGTTGGTTGGTCTTGGGAAAACGCAAAAAGCTGTCGGTTTCGGTGCCGTCGCCGTCGCCGTCGCGGTCGTCGTCGTCGTCGTCGTCGTCGTACTCGCTTGGATAGATCAATTTGGCCACTTGAAAGTTAGCCCCCGGGTCGTCACCAAGACGCCTATTTTGACGTGGTTCGTGCAGTTTCCATGCCAGCTCCGAGACCACACCGGCCAACGAACAATGACTTAAAGTCTTAAACTATGCTGTACTTATCAAGGCTCTAGAAGGGTGGGCACCCTTCCCTTTCCTTTGATGCTTAGGGTTTGTTATGTGGATGGATTTGATAGGCATATTCGTCGCACTTTTCTTCCTTGTTTGGTTTGGGGAATCGAAGTTTCTATTTTGGAGCCCGGAATCGGCGCGTCCGATCGCATTTGAGCGACTGCCGAGAAGCAAGGTGCGTAGGTGAGTGTGCGGAGCGGGAGACATGACGAAGAGGAGATAGGGGGCGCCGAGATTCGAACTCTTGATCCGGGACATGGTGTGCCTGCGAAGCCTCCGAATGCGCTCCCCCGCTTCTGGAGACGGTCTTTTCCTCCGTGCCTTGTTTGGACGCGATAGCTCCTGAAGGAGGTCGAGATTCGAACTCTTTAGCCGGACATGGTATGCCTGCGAGGCCTTCGATCGCGCTCCCGGTTCTAGAGACGTCTTTTCCTCGGAGCAAATTGCTCCATGATTACGATTCGAAACCCGTCCTTTGCGTCGAGCCCGAGACTTGTTCGGACACAACGGCTCCCAAAGGGCATCGTCTCGGGAACATGATGCTTTCGGGTTATTACAGAGCCAAAAGGCCAGAGAATGTGCTAGGAAATAGCCCACCCATACCCTAATTTCCCGGGCACGTTATCGAGTTCGATTTATTTCTGTCGAGCTACTCCCGAGTTAGGTATTGCGAATTCTTACTCGCCATAATCTCTGCCTAAACGACACCCTTTGACGTTAGCGAGGACCAATCCATCTAATCGATCGAGATATACAACCTACACCTTTGAATTTATATCAATTCCAGAATCGGATCCTCCTAACATAACCAAACCGATAGATTAAACTTTACAATAACCACAAAAAATTCCTCAAAATCCTTCATTTTTATTTATTTTTTATCTTTGAAAGGGTTGGAGCAACATCACCGCTCCTTCATGGTCCCCCAATTTCCATCACTGACACTATGGTCACAAAATCGCACCATAATTACCACATCGCCCTTTACTTCATAATAAATTAATGTCTCCTAATATCATGCCCCAAAAAAGTTTATTATAAAATTATAAAATCGGGTCAAACTTGCAAGCGCCGGTGCCTTTCTTGGAACTGTCAGCGACTCTACCACGAAGTATAACCTACATAGGCTTGGTCACGAAATTCATTTTATTTTATTAATACCCAAGAGATTAAAATAAACAAGCAATGTATTCCTCGAAATTACAATAAATGCAAAATATTATTTTTTTCTTAAAAAAAATTTCTCGATGGGTCTTTCATGGGTCAACCGGTCGCAGACGCAAATCCCAGTCGCACGCTATCTTTAAAACCCTTTGGAGTTTGGAGGAGGAGGAGGAGTAGCTTATAAGGAAGGCATCGTTTTCTGCGGTCTCGATGTTGAGTGGGGCGGTTGGAAAAGGGGAAGCCCCCAAAAAATAATTGGGAGTTTATCTAAATCCATTTTATTTAAATCCATCACATACATTTAAATTTCACTTATATAATAAAAATGGGAAAAAATCACCAAAAATCCCGAACTTTGCCATCTGTGAAACATTTACCCCGAATTTTTTTTTGTGACATCAAAAACCCCAAACTATTCTATTTGTGACACATTTAGCCCAGTGTATTTAGTCCATGGGCATTTTCGTCTTTTTTGCTTTTTCTTTTTTTTTCCTTTCCGGCGAGGGCTGCCCTCGCCGGATCCGGCGAGGGGGTCCCTCGCCGGCGTCGGGCTGCCCTCGCCGGCGTCGGGCTGCCCTCGCCGGCGTCGGGCGAGGTCGACCCTCGCCGGCGTCCGGCGAGGGTCGCCCTCGGGGCGAGCGAGGGCCGCCTCGCCCGACTCGGGCGGCCCTCGCTCGCCCAAGCGAGGCGACCCTCGCCCGACGCCGGCGAGGGGGCCCTCGCCGGATCCGGGAGGGCCGTCCTTGCTCGATGCCGGCGAGGGCCCCCCTCGCCGGATCCAGCGAGGGCAGCCCTCGCCCAACGCCGGCGAGGGCCCCCTCGCCGAAAAGGAAAAAAGAAAGAGAAAAAAACGAAAAAAAGATGAAAATGCCAATGGACTAAATACATTGGGGTAAATGTGTCACAAATAGGATACTTTGGGGTTTTTGGTGTCACAGAAAAAAGTTCGGGGTAAATGTGTCACAGACGGTAAAGTTTGGGGTTTTTGGTGGTTTTTTCCCAACAAAAATTTGTCTCTCATATTTACGACAAAAATTGATTCTATCCGGTACCCGTCGCATTATCCATTTAAACACGTATAAACTATAATTCATTTTCGAATGGATCTCGTTCTTAAATTCACTTGACCTATCTGGATCGATGTTTACTTCTTGCTCAACCTAAATCTTAAAAATCACAAGTTTTGACTTTTTTTTTTATTTTAGATTCAAAACTGTTGAAACTTCCACAACGCTCAAATGTTGGTACATGTCATTTTTTCTTATTTTTTTTGGAACCTAAATATTATTTTAAATTTCGATAGAAGAGCAAAAGGGATAAAAAAAATGCTTTATTCAAATTTTTGAAGTATAAACAAACAGGTCCTCGATGTGCTTCTTCAAATTTTAAATCGAGAGATTATACCATCGAATTATATATCGTAGATGGCGCATAATTCATCCACCGATACTTTTAGCTAAACCAAAATGAACTTTTTTTCCGGATTGAGAAATATTTGCGACTTATATTAAAATTCATCTTTTGCGATCGATTTCAAGTGGCGGTAGTAGAATCGATAGGATTGCCCCATGTCGCATTCAATGAAGTGTGTTAATTTAATCAAACCCTTCTTGTTCGGTCAGCTTAAGCAATGCACCGGAATCGATCGAAGAGGGCAGGACGGAATCTCCCTGCTTTTTTATCCATGTAAAATTAGAATTGATGAGGAATAAAGTTTTCGAAAGAAGAGAAACCTGGGGACCAGTGAAGAAATAATATTTTCAATTTATATATGCGGTCCGACATTGAGCTCGACCTTATTAAGAATGGTCTGAAAATACAATCTTTGGGAATTGTAGGCAGCTTGTCACCCATTTCATATAGACCAAAGGAAGAAATATTCCTTTGTCTTGATGCTATTTTCATGTGTACATGCCAATCCCCCACGAACACATTTTCATCGATTATTATTCTAACTTAATAAGTGAACATCATATGAGAAAAATGTAATATATGTATTGAGAAGTGCACTCAATTTGCATTCGATTACTCGACAATCGTGTCCGGAAGACTTGCTAAGAAATCCTTATTTTAATGATCTCCGTAGCAAAAAGGGTGAACGGCCGAGCCTTGACCTTGCGCTGTTTTTTTGACGGGGTGTTTGAATTTCTAGTTTGCTACAAAGTTTTTGAACTTGTGGAATCCTTTCGATCGATTCAAGTCTCCCGACGGTCGAAAAAAAATAACAAACTAAAGATCGACATGTCGGTCAGTGTCGAGGAGAAATTTGACGTTGAGATGATGAGTGTCGTTATGGAATGAAAAGCTATCGAAAATTTGCTCCAATGTATCACGAGGAGTTGTATTTGCAGTTTGGTCAGCATAAATTGTCCATGGCGACATTAATTTGTTAAAATCCTATAAGCTCAAGGACTTGATTGTATGATTCATAACTCGAGGAGCTATGTTGGAAAATTCGTGTGAGTATGCTAAATGTGCAATTTTTATATTTTCAAACGATATAAGTAAAAATTATGTCCCGTGTATCATTTTAGCCGGTGACTCACCTCGTTCTTTAATTGGTTAATACCGAGAGCAAATGATTGTGCATTTAGTCAGCAACTTTGAGCTCGAGTTGTAAACCATTATGCACTCAATATAGTTAGAGGCCGCTTGGTTACGGTTTTTTTTTTTTTTGGTTGAAAAAAATTGTTTTTTTAAAGTAACTAAACTTTTATGTTAGATGTTATTTTGAATCGAGAGTAGGTTTTGAATGTTGTAAAGAAATAGATGTGTTACTTTTGTTAGTTCTAGCTAATCGATATAGTGCATATAATATGTCAATTAGTTTCAGATACTAATTAGTATCCCCAACGAAGTCACCTTAAAAGATCAGCAAAAATTGCAAAAAGTAAAGAAGAAATTGACCAATATAGAAACATACTAAATAAAATAGTGTACCTACTGACCAAAAAAGCAGTGTACCTAAATTACCAACTAAAATAGCGTAAAAAAAAATGGAACCTAATACAACTCAATTATCCCCGATAAGTATTTTCAAGAACTTTTTGTAAAATTCAGACTCTCTGAGTTTGTGATCCCCGTTCTTTCTTTCCACAAAACTCGACCATTATTATCTCAATATAAAATGCATGGACAATCTCTTTCTCTAAGTAAGCAACCTAAGAGTTAGCGAGGAAATCATCATCCATCTTGTTGTGAAGTCTTGAAGTCTTGTCTTTATACTTATAATGCAATATGAGCCGAATCGATCTATTATCAGAGCGACGAAATTTCGGCATAGTGGATCTTACGGATTGATAAGACAAATCGGAAATTATCAAAAACTCCTGTAACTCAATATCGCGGCAAATATTAAGCCGACAAATTGCCCTAATTGATGGGTCAAAAATGCACTTTCTCTTGTTTAGCAAAAGGTTCCCGAGTAAAAATACATATATTTTTTCAACAAAGAAAAAAGAAATGTTGTCGGCACTAAAGGAAAGAAAAGCATTTCCGATACACTTGAGCTTTACGTTTTTGTTCCCCCTTCATTCAAGACAAGAACGTACGAATAGCGAAGCTCTACGCTTCGCTTCGCTTCCCACGTTTTTCCTCTCATCTCGAGCCAATCCACGCTCCGTCAAACAAGCTGACCGCACGGACGGATGCTTCTCAAGCTCGACTGGCGAAACGAACGTGCTGGATGATGCATGGCCCACCCACCCCCCCGCCATCATCTCCATCTGCAGCAGACGTTTTGCAGCAGCAGACGACGACGACCACCACCACCAGCACCACCAGCTTCAAGAATCTCTGCACAGAAGGGAGAGAGAGAAAGAGAAGAGGGAAAGAAGAGAGAGAGGGGGAGAGGGAGAGAGTCTCTCCGAGTTCTCGTATGTATCACATGGCGGAATTTGCAAACACACATGGACTGACAGGTAAGAGTCGTAAAGGCGGGATCAGATTCAAAACAAGAAAAGGATATGGTGGTGGTGTTGGCCTCGTTTGGCGTCCGGGTGGGGTAGGGGAAAAACAAAAACGGAAAAGAGAAAGGGGGTGGGCGAAAAAGGATGAATCCCAGTCAAACCAAGTTGTCAGACTTTCAAACCCCAACCAAACCAAGGGAAATCAATCCCATGATAATAATGATAATAATAATAACAGTGATATAATGCAAAGTAGCATGCACCAGGAAAAGCTTTACCCGGGTCTCACGCCTCTCTCTCCCTCTCTCTTCCTCGCTAAAAACAAAGCTATTGCTCTCCCCCTCTCTCTGTCTCTCTTCTTTATAGAGCCATCTTCTTCATGCAACAGTCGCACACTCACTCTTTCTGTCTCTCAGATTGAGCCTTTGTTCGTATAAAGCCATCCCCCATCTCCCATCTCCAGCTCATTTTAAACTCCTACCCAACACCCTCTCTCTCTCTCTCTCTCTCTCTCTCTCTCTCTCTCTCTCTCTCTCTCTCTCTCTTTCTCTCTCTCTGTGCAAAGTGAAACCCAGAAAAGAAACTTTTGTACTATACCATTCTTTAGTTTGCAGTCAAAGATGTTTTAGCCAAAAAAAAGTGTGCAGTCAAAGATCAAAGCCATACAACATCATCTGTTCAGCTGTATGTTTTGGACCCGTCTTCTTCTTTTTGTTCTCCGCTTATGAACTGAGAGCATCGGAAGGATACGATACAAAAAGATGGGCATCTATAAGTTCTTGAACCTCCAGATGATCCCCTGGTGCTTCCATCTGATGGGCAACCACATCTCCTGCGTCCAGCTCCAGCCTGAGCCCTCTCCGCCGCCGCCCTCCTCCGCCGACGACGGCACCGTCAAGCTCATCCACTCCGATGGCCTCGTCAAGACCTACCACCGGCCGATCCGGGCGTCCGAGCTCATGGCCCAGTTCCCCAAGCACCTCGTCTGCCGCTCCGACTCGTTCTACATCGGCCAGAAGATCCCGGCCCTGTCCGAGCACGACCTCCTCCAGCTCGGCCACAAGTACTTCCTCTTGCCCCAGCAGTTCTTTCAGTCCGTCCTCACCTTCGTCACCATCGCCTCCTTTGTGTCGTCGCAAAAGCCGCAGGACCCGAGCACGCTTCCGCGGGACGGCAATAGCTCTCGGAACGCGTTCCTGAGAAAAGCTGCCGGATGCCAGCCCTTCGACATCCAGAGGACGCCCTCCGGGTGCCTCCGGATATGCGTGTCCGACGAGTTCATATCGCAGCTGATGGAGGAGGGAGGGCGAGGCGAAAAGGAAGCAAGTAGCGAGGGCAGCAGCGGCGACGGCGAGCAGAAGCCCGTCGGGAGAGTGTGCACGACGCCCCAGCTGGAGCGGGATTACTCGCAGCTGGTGGGGTCGTCGAGGCGGTGGGAGCCGAAGCTCGAGACGATTAGGGAGAGCGACAAGAAGAGCAGGTCTTCCTCTTCCTTCGGGATGAAGAGGAGGAAGAAGCAGCCACCGCCGCCATCCAAAGTTTCAGCGCAGAATCACAAGATCCAGAAATCGTCGGAGAGTCACGTCCATGCTGCCGTGGCGGTGGCGGCGACGACGACGGCAACCTCGACGAAACCTTCTTACCGAGCTAGGATCAAAATTAGATCAAGAAAATGATGTTAGCTAGGATTAATCATCTGTTTTCCTTTTTCCCCCGTTTCATTTTTCGCCACTTTCTAGATTTTGGGTTTCGATTAGAGACTGGAAGAAAAAAAACAGACGTCCTTTGTAGATCCTTGTTCATAGACATTTTACATGAATACAAATAAGAACATGCAATCCATACGTGTTGGATTGGGTCTCCCTAGCTTTAAACCTAGTTGCAGTTCAGTTTTTCAGATGATGATAATGATTCGTTTTCTGGGTTTTCGCGAGTTTAACCTGAAGGAGGTCAAGGCTAGCTAGATCTGGTCTTGAGTTCAACGTCATCCATAGAATAATGATAGCGAGAACATTATACTATACATCTTCGAGCGGATTAATGACTCGGGACCATTTTTATGATCAAGAAACCTGGGTTTTAGTGAAGACGACTTCAATTTAATATCGACAATGAGCCTGATGCTACCAATCTGAAGATGTTTAGATCCGGTTAAAATTGCACTCTTCGATTGCGGGTTCAGACTTAAAACTCATTTAAAACATCATATGATAAGAATGATACGGTCCGAAGTGCGAGATGTACAAAACAAACATAAATTCTCGCCCGGTCACAGCATTTCCCATTCTACCTGTAATATGCTATTATACAAAGACAACAAGCTGATGATCTCTCCGGTCAAGACCCGATTGGCGGTCAACATGAATCCGCGCCAGATCATATGGCGTAGATCGGAATATAATACACTCCTCCGAATCTGTAGATCTGTAATGAATATATATCTATATTCAAAACCTCATGCCCTAATTGGAAGCCAAAAGGAGTTAAAGAAGAAGATGTATGCACAGTGCGTGCATGACCAGCTTCGCAACGACGTGGACGGGGATCGCCAAATCATGCACCGATAATCACCTCGCAAATTGGGTCACGTTGATTGGAACAGAGAACGGTGGAGTCCAAGGAGGACACAATGGATGGGATGAGGAGCCGTGCGAGGTGATGGCGAATCTTGGGTTTGCTTTGCTCTTTCTTCAATCTAAGTTTCGGGGACGATGTGCTCATTTTCTTCTTCTTATTTTCTTCGTCTTCTTCTTCCAAGTTTGGGTCACAAACGGACAAAGTAATGGTCAAAGAGAGCGTCCGCCCTTCACAGCTAGGAGTGGACTGGCGCGTGCGTGCGTGCGTGCATCTCAGCTCTTACTAAGTTGTATTTATTCATTTCTCTTTTTTTGTCCGGTGATGTCGGAATTAGATATCGCGCATTTCGATAGACGCATCTTCCCGACCACCCTCGAAGGTGTACTCCTCCACATCGGTCCGGTGCATTCAAGATTTATATTTCCAGATGGCTTCCTGCGAGACTCGAATTCGAGACCACGAATTAAAGAGCAAACCCTCTCGCCGTCCTAAGCTAATGGCGTATGACTAAAAACATATAGACCGGCTTTATCTCTACGGGATCCAAATCGCTCTCTTGTACGAACATCAGATAGTGGTCCATGTACAAATTACCATACATGTCCTTCGAGTTCCCATTGAATGGAACGCGTTATAATTCGAGGTACGAGAAGGGTCTCGTAGTCGCATTCGAATCGGTCGCATAGTTTGAAGGTTTGGATGGATACTAAAACGGTACTGGGCAAAAGGCGAAAAATCGAACATGAAGTTAAGATGGAGAAATGATTAAGTGACGGTGCTTAATCTACCGTGAGATTAACAACATGTTTCACATCATAAAAAATAAATAATAAATAATTATAAAATATTGTGCGGTCCACTTCTAACAAAAAAAAAAATTATTATTACTTTCACAGTGATAAAGACCGTTAGGCTAGCAAAGCCCCGGACGGACGAGCTGTGGGACTCACGAGCAAAAAAAAGCACACGTGTGGGAGCGAGTCGCGTGCGGAATGACACGGGATGTACAGACATCAAATCGAAAAGCACAGTTGGCGGTCAAAAGCTGAAAGTCGCTTGTCGTTGTTGGGGGTGGGCTACTACTGGCTTGTTGGTTTGGACATTTGCCAGCCTTTTTTATTTTTATTTTTTTATTTCCCCTTTTTTCTTTTTCTCTTTTTCTTTTTGCCCTCGTTGGCAATAAAGGCGAGCATCGTATAATTTTTTGGCCGAGTGACAAAGATCACACGGCACCGTTTGGCTCAAATAAATGGATCGTCATCACTCGAATTGAACGAGAGGTTTTCTCGAGCACCGGGGCGGTCCCGGAGCCGAGTGAACCGGGCAGCCGCTTCGTGCCGTGCCGGTGGCTGTGTGTGGCCAACGTATGGTGCAAGCGTTGGTGGCTTGGGATTGTCTCGAATTCATTGTCGCCGATCATGTTCAGACGGTTAGATATGTAGTAAATTTCCATATGCATTTAATCAAGAGGACAAAAACCGCGATAGGCAAGCTGAGGTTCAGGGGATAATTTTCTGGGCTTTGCTCGAATAGATCGGATCCGGCTTGTTCTAGGTTAGCTCGTAGTTCCGACCTTAATTAAAGGCGTTCTTGCCTCGAACGAAATTGAGTTGATCTTGGTCTAGGATGGTCAGGCCGAATCTCAAATTTTTCCCCGAAAATATCTTCATTAGTATACGATGTGTTGATCATTACGTATTATGAGTCAAACACGCAATTTACACGGCAAAAGTACACCACAAGTGCCATAACTTGTGTACGGCGATCACTTTGGTCTGTAAGCTTTTCGGATCGGCTTTGGTGCGAGTCGGAGGAAAAGAGATCACTTTGGTGCCAATTTGGCCGGAAATCCGACGTGGCATTTTTATTCATTTTTACGCCGACGTGGCTCGCGGGAGGCTGAGTCAGCGTGTACAGTCAGCATTTTTTATTTTAAATAATTTTTTTTAGCGTGTACGGTCAGCATTTTTAATATTTTTTTCTTTTTTTTCTTTCCTTTTTCTTTTCTTTTCTTTATTTTCTTTTCTCCCCTCGCCGGCCGGCCACCGGCGAAGCCCGGGAAGGGCCGGGCGAGGCGGCCTTGCCCATGGCCGGCGAGGGCGGCCGACCCTCGCCGGCGACAGGCGAGGCCGCCCGCCGGCGTCGGGCGAGGGTCGCCCACGCCCGACGCCGGCGAGGGTCGCCCTCGCCGGATCGCGCCGGCGAGGGTCGCCTCTCCCGGATCCGGCGAGGGCGACCCTCGCCCGGGCCGGCCTCGCCTGTCGCCGGTGAGGGTCGGCCGCCCTCGCCGGCCATGGGCAAGGCCGCCCTCGCCCAGCCCTTCCCGGGCTTCGCCGGTGGCCGGCCGGCCACCGGCAACCGGCCGGCGAGGGGAGAAAAGAAAAAAAAGAAAAGAAAAGAAAAAGGAAAGAAAAAAAAAAAGAAAAAAATATTTAAAATTAAAAATGCTGACTGTACATGCTAAAAAAATTATTTAAAATAAAAAATGCTGACTGTACACGCTGACTCAGCCTCCGGCGAGCCACGTCGGCGTAAAAAATGAATAAAAAATGCCACGTCGGATTTCCGGCCAAATTGGCACCAAAGTGATCTCTTTTCCTCCGACTTGGCACCAAAGTGATCCAAAAAAAAGTTATGGCACCAAAGTGATCGCCGTACACAAGTTATGGCACTTGTGGTGTACTTTTGCCCAATTTACACTATACCTAGTATAAGCTATTTGACAGCTAAAAAACGTGCGATTGACGGGCCTAACTCTTGATCTTGGATGGAGTTCCGAGACTGTATTACCATTTTGAAAGTCATGTTTTGGAGTGTGCTGCACCTAAATGGAAAAATCAATTTGAGGTTGTTTTCAACCTAGAAAATCCGCATGTTTATTGTTTACGGCCATTTTCCCCGAATTTCACATCACATATCTATCCGATATTTCATTAAATAGTTTAGATATTTATATGGCATTAGTAATGTGTTTGAAAAGAATTAATAATTAACTTCTAATTTCCATTATATTTGTAGTTTGTAGATTTTTTTTATCAGTCCGATGCTAATTCAAGTTTTAGAATCTCAAACTCGGTGGCTTGGACTAGCTCGAGCAAAGAGAAAATTCCAGACCCGTTAGCTTGAAACCTCGAACTAGCCCCGGCAAAAAGAATAAAAGTTCATATTTGCTAGCCCGTGTTTCCTTAATGGATATGACAAAGAGGAGATCATCAAGTCGCTAGACCAATGCAGTGTCCATACCAATAGCAAGATTGAGATTCCGGCTCAAAAATCGCTCATATACATCAGCGAAAATAATAAAACATGGATATACATGATTTGCTTCAAGAAATGGTTAGACGAATCGGGATTCAAGAGTGCCTTGAAAATCCTAGCAAGCGAAGCAGGATACGATGTCATGACGATGCTCTACAAGTGATTAGGAAAAATTCTGTAAAAGTTAAAGCATGTCCTAAAGAGAAATCAATTCGAACACGTATCTATATCTTCTTTTTGTGGAATTCGCATTAACATGTGGGGTAAAAACATTACATTGCATAATTAGGAGAGATACATATGCCATTTTTGCCAATTAGGATTTAAGCATTGAATTAGGGTTTAGGATCTTTTAATTCGTGTTTTGCAATTTTCTCTTTAAACTGATGTTATTACTATAAAAAAGAAGACGATGATATAGCCTCGTATATTGAAGAAGCTACAGAGGCGTTTCGCATGGAACAACTCCAGTTCCGATCTTAATTAAAGACGTTATTGCATCAAACAATAATTGAGTTGATCTTGGTCCAGGCCAGTCAGGTCGAATCTCGATTTTTTTCCTAAAGATATCTTCATCGATATACTATTTATTGATCACTACGTATTACGACCCAAACATGCAAGTTGCACTATATTCAGTATAAGCTGTTTAAGAGCTAAAAGAGGTGCGATGGACGGGCCTAACTCTTGATATTGGATGGAGTTCCAAGCCCATGTTGCCATTTTGGAAGTCCTCTTTGGGAGTGTGCTGCTCCTAAATGGGAAAATCAATTTGAGATTGTTTTCAACCTAGAAAATCCGCACGTTTACGCCTATTTTCCCCTAATGTCATCCCATTGCT